TTAGGATAACTGGGTTAGTGGAAATTTTAGTTAACTTAGAGTTTTTATTTAAAGGGATGTTAGAAAAGACATTTTATCATATTGGATCATAAGATATGAAGAAGGAAGGCTAATACATTGAAATTTTCAGGGGGAAAATATGACATATATACAATTCCCATATTTTTGGTCATAGACTCTACTCAGAAGCTTAACTTTTGGCCCAAGTTAACTTTTTTGGGACTGAGTGGTGTATGACTAGATAAAATTACCAACTTGAAATTACTGCGTACTCACAATTTGTTTATTTTATTGCACATAAAAACAATGAATACCAGCTAAATTAACAAAATAACTTACTGAGTGAGCAGACAGAATGAAATGTAAGGTTGGAGAAACCAGGCTTGGGTGTCCCTAAGGAGTCAAGGTAGAAGGAACTGACAGAAGGTCTCTTCAATGAACTACTGTTGGGATCAATAAACTCCAAATATTTTTCTTTCATTATATGTAGCATTCCACTCAAGATTCAGGGTCCGGGGAGAGATATCCCATTGGCTTTGCTTGGGTCAGGTACCACTCTACAGGTCAAGATCAAGGGACTTGATTAAGAGTCCCACCAACAGTTTACCCATAAGGAAGATCTTAATCCCCCAAAGGAAACTGGATACCTCTATGAAAGGGAGGAAATGAAAACCAGTCTATTTGTGAGATCACTTTACAGAATATAGAATATCAGAAAAATAGCAAATGAGAGTCATCTAACGGATAGATAAAATTACAAGAGAAAGCTACTACCCTGATAGAAAACAATAAATCACAAAATGGTATTTTCCACCATGTTCTATTGATACTACATGCATCTCAAACTATGAAACAATTGAATGTCAGAAGCCGTTAGCCAACACTTTATAAAAACTTGTCTTTCTAGTCAGAGTTGATACATAAGAGCTTTGTGTTTTAAAGGTTTGTTCTCCCAGCTATTCACTGTGAGGACAGTTTCTCTGGCTCCTGTCCTATGTGTTGAAATGTCATCCAAGGCAAGACAAGGAAATGGTATTTGGTGTATGAAGGCAATTCTGTCTACTTAGGTCTGAAAACTGGAAAGGAAGATACCCCTCCTTGCCTTTCACTCTACCCCCTCCAGAAAACACTGTTTTTTTTTCATGATTCTGGTTTTTTGCCTATGTAAATGAGCACATTTCCTAATGTGCTATAACTTGAAGATTTAAATGAAGGAGAATCTCATATGCACTAAAAAAAATTGTCACCTGAGGATAGGTTTACTGATTTTAGAGAGAGAGGAAGGGGTTGGGGAGAGAGAAACCTCCATGTGAGAGAGAAACATCAATCAGTTGCCTCCCATTTGTGCCTGGACTGGGGATTGAATCTGCAACCTTTTGGTGTACAGGATGATACTCCAACGAACTGAACCACCTGGTCAGGGCTTGTATGCCTTTTTTTTTTTTTTACACAAAGCTTTTAGTCTCATTAGATGTTTGGCTATTGCTATCACACATTATCTAGTTTAGGTAAGTAAGACTCTATACTCCTTAAAAAGGATTCTGAACAAAAATTGCTTAAGTGCTAAATTGTCATGAGAAAGACCAGAATTATATTGTTTGCTTTTGTAACAGAGGAACTACTTGAGGGAGTAAACTTCTAATGAAGGTACGTATTCGATTACTTCCAAGGATTTTAATATTTGGAAGTTCAGAGTATTCTGTCTGCTAATACTATAGTGTGGTCTGGGAGACTGGATTTAGATTCTAAAGTGCTGTGCACAAATTGTAACATCTTTCAGTTTTCAGGTATTAGGTATTGAAATATTAAATATTAAAATATTGAATATTCAGTTACTAAATATCTAAGTTATTTGGACTAAGGCCCATGGCAGGTGGGGACATGATTTTTGCCCCGTGTTCTGAATGCCAAAGTGAGCGTATTTACAGAAGCTTAGGTAAATTGATGGGTGTAGCTGTGACTCTTTTAAGGTAGTCAACTGTCTTACCGTCTAATTAAGGATGTGCATGAATGATATTCTAATGCCTTTACCTGTTATCTGATGAAACCACAGCCAAGGCAATGGCTTGGCAAAACCTTTGAGCAAAGAAGCCTGTTGAATGTACTTATGAACGTGGCATGGTGAGAAGACAGCAGGAGATGTAGATTAAGTGGGAGACCCTTTTGAGAGCAAGGAGGTCAAGCCTTAGACCTCCAGATACATTGCCGCCTGTACTGTTCCAGAACTGAGACAAAAAAGAAACATTTTCAAATTTTTAAAAAATATTATTTTGATACCAAAACCTAATAAAAATTAAAATAAAAACAAATCTCACCGATGAATTAAAAAATCCCTCCAAGTAGATTGAGATACACAAAATAGTGCATAAGCCAATAAAGATTTAATCCAATAATTAAGGAATAGTTTAGTAGTAGAAAACACATATTTTATTACATTAAAAGTTATAAGGAGAAAATCATAATCATCTTCCTGAGAATTGGAAGTGCATTTGATAAAATGTCATAAGTATTCTTTGTATCAATCAAAAAATAGAAAAATATGAATGCTCTCTCAATTTTGTGAAATAAATTTATCTAAGCCTCAGAGGCAGCACCATGCTATTGAGGGCATTCCCACTGAAGTTAGGAACTAAACAAAGATGTACAGTTATTATTTACCATTATTTGGGGTGTCCTGTTCAATGCAAAGACAAAGGGAAGAAATTAGGAGTTAAAAGTTCAAAATAAGGAGGTAGAATTATCAGTTTGTAGTGATTATATAACTATATTTTGTTGTATGTTGTGTATAACTGAGAGAATTATCCAAAGATCTACTCCAAATAAGAGAGGTTAGTATGGTAGTTGGATACAAAATTAACAGACATCAACAGACAAATCAAAGAAACAACCCCAATGATAATGTTAGCCAAAAGGATAAAACATTTAAAGATAAAATAAAGATATGTTTATAAAGATATAAAAATCTTTATATAAAGATTTATATAAAAACATATAAAGATACAACTTTAAGAACACAAAAGTAGACTTGAACAAATAGAAAGGAACACCATGATCTTAGATTCAACATCATAAAAGTGTTAATTTTCCGTAAATCAACATGTAGTTTAATTCAGTCCTCATGAAAACACCATTACATTTTTTTTAGAACCAGACAAACTGATTTTGAAATTTATATAAGAAAGTAAATAAGCAAGAAAAGCTCAGAAAATACTGAAAAGCAATGTAATGTTGGAGAGACAGAGAAGGAAACTTAATCCTGCTAGAACTTACAATATATTTAAAAGACTTTTTAAAAAGACTCTGTAATTAAACTAATGTGGTAATGGTGAGTGAATAGATAGGTAAATGGAACAGAATAGAAAATCCAGAAACATACCCATATATACCCAAGAGTTAGATTGGAATTACAAATGGCATTTCAGAGAATGCTAAGAAATGCATGTTAAAACTATAATGAAATATTCTTTTAAAGCCAACAGATTGACAAAAATACAAAATTTTCACAATACACCCAAAATTGCTGGGTATAATATAAATCGATTCAGTCATTTGTATACAATTTGCCAAAGCTGATTACAATTACAAATGTACATAACCTTTGACTCAGAAATTCCTTTTTTGGGGTTTTACCTAACAGACATGCATATATGCAAAGAGTTACATGTATATATAAGGTTATTTAGTGCAGCAGTGTCTTTCATTGTTAGGCAGAGGGGACTAGTTAGGGAGTTCAGAGAAAACCCTATACGGAAAAACAATGCAGGAGAAAGAAAAAAATAAGGAAGGCCACTATGCATTGATTTGAAGGGTCTTCAAGATCTTTGTCAACTGAAAAATTTTTAAAAACTTAAAAAAGATTGGTCAATTAAGGATTGCAAGACATACAGATGTATATATAACATGCTCTTCTGTGTAAAATAATAGAGGAAACCTATATTTGAGTTACTTATGTAGGAATAAACTCTAGAAGGATATAAAAGAAACAGGAAGCATAGAAGATATGGGAGTTAGGCAGGAAATAAATAGATGAAAACTCTATACCTTTGTTATTTTTTTCATTTTGGAACCATGTGAATTTTTGCCTATTCAATAAATAAGTATATAGCCAGATGGTGATATACTGTGCTTGTGTTTGTAAAGAATATATACTTGTATATATATACACACACAAAGAATAAGGACGCTCTCTAGTTTTGATAGAGAAAAATCTCTAAAGGTGTTAGGTGACTAAAACAAAGTATGGAATGCTTTCTATATGCATAAAGCAGTTCAGGAAGGACATTCAAGTTAATGAACATTGTGATATGCTGCCAGCGCCCGTCCAGACGCCCTTCAAAAAATGAGAGATTCCTCGCCTTAGCTGCTGAGAGGGCTGCTGACAGGTGGCCCTCAGCCAAGAGCTCCTGTGGAGATTGAGCGCCTTTTTTGAGGAGAGCCACCTCACCTAAGGCCGTGCATGCCCCTTTCCTGGGTGGTTCTTACTCAGGGAATGATCGGCATGGGCCAGCTCCCAAATTGGGCAACTCTACATGGTCATCCTTGTTTTAGAAATTCCCTTCCTTCATGTCACAGGGCAGTTTACCTTCCCCTTCTGCTGTCCATTCCCTTTCATAGGAAGAGAACACTCCCAGTAACTTTCTTGCTAAGAGTTTGCTTCCTGGGGAACCCAAAATGTAACAAGAAACCAAAATCAGTGATGTTAGTGGTTGGGTAAGGCTAGGAATATGGTGAATGGGGACTGTTCACTCTATGCCTTTTTATAATTAAATTTTTTTGAGCCATGTAAATGTATTAGTTATTTAATTCATATGTAAACATTTTAAAATTAATATGCCAGTAATATTTCATGCTTTTCCACATGTATTTTTCAAAAACGTGTTTTATGTTTTAATTTAGAAGACATTTTTAATCCAAAGGACCGTGCCCCACCACACTGTAAACATGCTTTTCTTTCCTGTTTTTGTTTAAGACCCTCAGAGAAGCACCTTGATCTCCTTACAATGGAAATTAAGAAGTCACCTGATGGCGGATGGGGCTGGGTGATTGTGCTTGTCTCCTTCTTTACTCAATTTCTGTGTTATGGATCCCCGGTAGCAGTTGGAGTCTTGTACATAGAATGGCTGGATGCTTTCGGTGAAGGAAAAGGAAAAACAGCCTGGGTCGGATCCCTGGCAAGTGGAGTTGGCTTGCTTGCAAGTAAGTGGATAAATTCATGCTGCTCCTCACTCATTAGTCATTTAGTTACATTTGCTGCATTGTAACAATGTGCAAGGCATAGTAGGCTATTTGTTTTTAAAGCGTAACATGTATTCTCTTGCCTTCGCTGAGATTATAGAACCGCTCTTCCACTGTAATAAATCTGTGTGAAAATACAGAAATTGCATATGATATTCATTCATTCATTCATTCATTCATTTCTTTATCCATTTGCTACTATGTGCAAGGCAAGTTTGCTAGATGCTGAATATAAAAAGGTAGAAAACAAACACGTCATCCCTGTCCTTAAGATGCTCACAGTCTAATGAGAGACATACTTTCATGAGTGAGAATGATACAGGGAAAAGAGGGTGGTGATTCAGGTCTGTCCAATGAAGGCTCTGACCAAATGGCCGAATGATACGTGGCCGTCCTGTAAGAAATTCTTCCATGATTCATAACTGCATCTCTCCAGTTCAGATACACTGTGATCAAATCCCATGTCCTACATTTGTGTCACCTTTGTAAGAAAAATTTTGCACAGCAAAGGGTAATTCCATCTCACAATGACGATGCTATTAAGGATTTTCATATAATGTTATTTATAAGATATATGGGATGTATTTCGTGTGACCTTCATATAATGTCTCCAAAAGTAATATATTTGACAAACGTTTCCATCTGATGTAATAGTAATTCCTATCGTCTTTACAGAGAGCAGCAGAGAGGTTTTCATTTTCATTTTTAGACTTAAAATCATATGACACTTGAATGAATTAATAGTTTCAACTCTGCAGTAATATTTCGTGATTATCACTGTAGCTTTGTTGCCATAATTTACAAGTGTGCCAAAACGGTGACCTAGGTTTGGTTGTTAGCCTCGGGGTCTCTTCCTCTGTGCTCTGAACTTGACACGATTTGTTGAGCAAATCACAATCTCTATTCTTATGGAGAAAGAAATGACATTGACTGTGTAGATTTGTAAGGTGCTTTTCAGCTCTAAAATAATTTCAGGAAAAAAGAAAATGCATTAGCCACTCCTTTTTAAAAATGTTGTCTTTCCTGAATCCTAAAGGGGGCTTCTTAAAACAAAAATGGTTATTTCCAATTGATGATAAATTAAAACCAAGACTTCATACTGATGTACAGTGAGTGACAGATGGTTACTAAATTTATTGTGATGGTCACTTTATAAGGTATATAAATGTTGAATCACTATGTTGTACACCTGAAACTAATGTAATTGAAAATAAAGTGAAAATAAAGTAAAAACTATTAAATACATGCGACTTAAAAACAAAAACAAGACTTAAAAAACAATGCTGGATCCCTTGACTTAAACTTCTAACTTTCAGAACTGTAAAAGGAAAAATGTGTTCTTAAAAAAAAACAAACAACCCCGCAATACTGGGATGTTGGATCATTTGATCTGGCCATGTCAGTCAAGATAACTAAACATAACCAAACAGCCCTGGCCAGTGTGGTTCAGTTGGTTGGACATTGTCCCACAAGGCGAAGTGTTGCCAGCTCAGTTCCCAGCCTGGGCACGTGCCTCGTTGGTGGGTTTGGTCCTGAGTCGGGCGCGGACGAGAGGAAACCCCTTGTTTCTCTCTCATATTGATGTTTCTCTCCCTGTCTTTTTTCCTCCCTTGCTCTCTCTCTAAAAATAAATTATTTATTAAAAAGAATAACCAAACAAATGAAAGTCATACTATCATTATGAGCTCAAGAGAAACAGTAAGTTTGCCCAAGATTTGTTTGAAAGGGCTTTTGCCACCCTGAATGTGCATGATCTTCTCTGAAAGTGTTTTTCAAAATGTGAATTGTTTGTAAAACTTCCAAGTACAAGTGGATGATAATTGATATGTTAATAAAGGGAGTCGAAAATATTGATTTTGAGAAAATGATCTAATGTGAAGGGGAGAGAATGTTTTTAATATTCTCCAATTACTCATGATTTCTATTAGCAAATACTAAGTTAAACAGAAATATAATTACCCTGATGGTCAGAGCTGAGGCTGAGACTGAACACTGAATTGCAGCTCTGTACTTTCTTTAAGTTCACCCTGACTCAAGGACCAGGAGCAGCTCCCTTTACTTGTAGGCAAGATCGGCTGCATAATTTGCAGACCCCAGTACAAAACAAAACAAAAGAGCAGGTCCCCTTGTTAAAAAAAAAATTAAGAATTCAAGACAGCAACAGCAGAACAGTTAGTTCATCAAATGCGTGGCCCTGCTAAGGGCTAAGCCCTATGCAGTTGCCTGGGCCACAACCTCATGCAGCCGGCCCTGCTTGAGGCTAGAGAGATAGAGCATCCCCCTGAAGTTCAGAGGAGATGACAAGTACTGGGAGGTGGGGAGCACTGGTCTTAAGTCAGAGACTAATCAAGTCCTGGCTGTACCATTATTTAGCTGAGGGAACTTATGCAAATCACTTAACTTTCATGTCATCAGCTCGATGAGGAGGCACTTGGACCAGCTTATCAAAGCTTTTGAAGATGAGCATAGAATAAGGAGACCAAAACATTCAAGAATGAGGAAATGGTGGGAAATGAAGTGCTACCACTTATGTGTGTGCGCGTGTGTGTACTTGGTTGGTGTCCACTGAACATATGTGATGTTGGCTTCTCTTGGCTCTTCATAGCATATATTAAAGGACAAATCCTGAAAAGTATGGTAATATAGTATTAGAAAGAGATGGCTACAAGTGTGTGAACCACACTAACCCTTTACTTTGTTGGAAACTTTGTTCTACAGAGAAACAAACAGATCGGTACCTTAGAAATGGGAAAAGCATATCCCACGTTGGTGACTCAAATGGTTGTCAGTGGTTCTTAACCAGGGGGATAATGAGAATCATCTTTAGAGAAATTCAGTATGTAATCTCCTGGATTTGATTATTAGGCATTCTATGTCAGTCAGTGTACGATGGGGTCCAGATATGTGAATTTTTTTAAATCCCCAAAAGTGATTTCAGTTGGGAAATATGACTGGCTTAAGCATATTTAGATTTTAATATTTACTTTTTGATAATTCCTTGATGCATGATTTGCTTAGACTTATTTATAAAGGGAACTACTGTATGTTTCTGCTCAGGTACGGCACTGCTTATGCCATGTAAATCATGAAAAGTAAATGGTGTCCAACAGTCCTGTTTCTGGTGGGGCTGTGGTGAAAAATACATGTGAACAAATATCTTTGCATCCTTTTTTGATAAAAGATAATGTATACATAGATGTGTAGATATATGCATCTTTTTGGTAAAAGATGGGCTTTACATATATGTGTAAAATATATACAGTTGCTTTTACATTCAGGAGTATGCATGCATTACTGGAGCTTGTCTAAAAAGCCGATTTCCTACCCATCCATGAGTAGTGCAGCCATGCAGATGGGACCAGGAGTCTTCTTTTAATTAGTCCCCCAGATGATTCTGACACAGGCAGGCCAGATCAGGTCTGAGAAACATGAGTTATCTTTAGTTTTGCCCAGGGAAGACATGGTAGCCGTCATCTTTGACTAGTTCTGTGATGTGACTTCTGGAACTTTATAATTGAGCAAGGCACAGCAGAATAAGTGCAACTGACAAGCAACATACAGATTTTATTTTTCCTGTACTTGTCCCTTAGGTTCACTAAGTGCCCCATGTGCGCCCACCTCAATCCAGCCGCTTTTGCTTTCTTGATCTTAGTTGATCCTGAAAACAAAGCTGATCCTGAAATGGGTTTAGTGACCTACCCAATCTGAAGCCCTTTCTCTAAGAGGAGGTGGTACCTGAGTCCCAGTTTTTCTAACCTGTTAAGCCTGTTCCTTTATCTTTAAACTTGGAGATGATAAAAGTACCTACCTTATGTGATTGTTGTGTAGAACAATTGAAATACTACTTGGCATATAATAAGTGCTCAACAAATATTAGTTATTAGGGAACCAGAATCACTTGCAAATAAAATTACTTTCCTAAGCAGTTCTAAAGGAGCTACAAACGAAAGGGCCCCTCAGGATAAAAGACAAAGACATTTCTAGGGGAGCGGGCAGGAGGGAGAGCTGGAACTTTGTCAAGATTATGTCTAAATACATGGACTTGAAAGTCCCAACACTTGTCTCTGACAAACTAGATTTAGACAGTAGCTCACAGTAGCATATTAGAACTGAAAAAATGTGCAATTCTTAACTTTACATTCTTCATAATATTAATTCCTTCTCTTTGAAACTCGAGTGATTGAGGAGAAAATACTTCTTCCTCTGGCCTGAATTATTTGTTTGTGCAGATGATCTTTGGGATGCATGAAGCTGAGTGTCAAGGAGCCCACTTTTCTGGATTATACATAGAGAACAGCTTACCATCATTATATCTGCCCAGAGCGCCTCCTCTCCTCTGTGCTAGGGATGCCAAAATAGAAGACATCATCTGGTTTTGAAGGGATTTGTAGTCTCAGGGAAGAAACATAAAAAAATAGTTACTGATAATTTGAGACATCCCAAAGAGAATTTCAAGGACAAGACAATTTTTGGAACTCTACAGAGAGAGGTGGGACACATGGAAGGACGGGCTGTGTGAGGCAGACAGTCACAGCGAGGGCAGGGCATGCAGAGTCTGTGTACGCAAAGGCCTGGGCTCTGCCCTGCAGATGACCCATTCTGGTAGAGGAAGTTTGTCCAGAGAAAGAGAAATGGTGATCATTGGGAGGTGCGATGGCCAGTGTCAGTTTGGCTAGGCTACCTTCCCCAGTTATTCAAACATTAATGTAGGTGTTGCTGTGAAGGTATTTTGTAGGTGTGCTCAAATTCCATAATCAGTTGACTTTAAGAAAGGACAGTTATCCTACATAATCTGAGTGGACCTGATTCAATCTGTTGAAAGGACATAAGAGAAGAGATGAACTTTCCCAGAAAAAGAAATCCTGCCTGTGGGCTGTAACTTCAGCCTGTGCTAAAGAGTTCTGATCTGCTTTTGCTGATTATGTTGCACTGTGGATGTTGTACTTGCCTAGCCAAATCCC